AAAGGTACGAAGATAATGTGTCTTTTAAATTCGAGTTTCTATGCAACTTACGACTAGTTTATTTTTAACTAAATTAAGAATGCATAGAAGACAAAAAATAGTAAGAAGTGGTTGAACGGCCGCTACAGGGGGGCCCTTAAAAAGCAATACGATTCAGTAAGATTCTAAGATTCCAAAGTTCAGCAATACGATTCAGAATTCCGACTTTTTCGCCTGTGATTTGGAAAAATGAATTTTCTCAGCAACAAGTTTTTGAAAAGAGCTCTTTGTTGTTTTAAAGTTGAGCATCTAGCGAATCAAACTATGTGAAAATAGTGGCTCTAGCATCTCTAGAAAAATGTGTGATAGGTTTGCAAAATTGTGTGTCGTTTTTGAGCCGTGGACATTGCGAAATTTTTTGTGAATAGGCATTTGGTTCTGAAAATATTTTAAGACCATTTTCCTGTTCAGTTTTAGATACAGAATCAGGAAAATATAACTTCAAAAGAAAAAAGGTCGAGGTTTTCTGTAGCGAAGGATTTCTGGTTTTTTGATCCTTTCAGTATTTCGAGTTCTTTGCTCGGAAAAAAGTGTCAGAAAAAGTCGACGTAGATATATTTGTGGTCGGGTTGAACTCTTCTATCCAGCGGTGTATAATATATCCAAAAATAAATTTCACTCGAGCTTTGAATTATGTGCACGTTACATGATTTCTTGATCTTTTACCACTATTTGCCAAACAGTTATGGAATTTATCCTAGCAACGGAGCTTATTTTTTTTACAATAAGCCCACTAATGTCTTCAATAACTTCTTGCGAAATATACACACTTATCCTAAGGGAAGCAACTATTTAATTAAAAGTCTAAAGTCAACATAAGAGAAAAGCATAACAATCTTACTGAATCGTATTGCTTTTTAAAAAAGCAGATAGATTGAATAGTGAATAACAAACATTTCTTCGACTGTTCTGCATTGCGAATTTTTTACCCGGTTCTCTAAACTACCATAGCTCTATATGAATAATAGAGCTGCGAGAGAAAGCAATTTTCTTTTCTTTTTTTCTGTTCTAGTTTGTTTTCTTATGTAAGATACAGAGTCAGTATTCCTATTGATGGCAAGAAAATTTTTCTTCTTCGTAAATCTCGATTTTCTCAGCCATCTTTCAAGTGAGAAAAGGGAATTTGGGATTCCACGATAGAGGAGACAATTCTCTATTCAACTATGTAAAAGCTTCTCAAAACTAATTTAGTTTGATTTTATTACAATGATAAAAAGAAGAGCCATGCTCGATTCTTTTTCGTTCATGTGTGTTCTCAAATATGACAGTCAAGCTATTTTTTGTTCTTATCGATGGCAGGCCCATTCAAATACATGGGGTTTTTACACCCTCGAAGAAAAAAGTTTTTCTAACAGACGAAATTAAAATTTGTTAAAAGCAAAATATATAGAAATGTTCCTCTAATCATGAGAAATCGAATGGTACTATTTTTGTGAGCTTTGTCTGCTCATAAATTTTAGGTAGTAAACTATTCTGAAATGAAGTTTAAAACTGGGTTCGCCTGTCTTGCAGTCTGTCCTCGTTTACAGATAGGTAGGTGAGTGTAGAATCGTATCGCAAGAACCATGGTTTTTCAGTACCATTCAATACCGCACATATTGAATATTAGTCAAGGAGGAAAAAGCGTTTTTGGAATGGTAGAATGGACTGGAACAGGCTGGAGGAGCTGGAATGGACCGGAGTGGACCACATTGATGCTGAGTGAGAATTTCTATTTTTGTGTAGGTATTCTTAAGGTCCTTGTCCCTTGTGTCCTGCAGAGGGCATTTTTTGACAATTTTTTCGACTTTCCATTTCCGAGACATATGTCTTCGTCCAGGTGTGCACCGAGACTGATACTCTCTATGTCGAAGGTATTGGTCTCGGATAGTATCGATATAAAGTGGTATTGGTATCGAATGGTACTGAAAAACCATGGTTCTTGCGATACGATTCTACACTCACCTGACTATCTGTAAACGAGGACAGACTGCAAGACAGGCGAACCCAGTTTTAAACTTCATTTCAGAATAGGTTACTACCTAAAATTTATGAGCAGACAAAGCTCACAAAAATAGTACCATTCGATTCCTCATGATCAGAGGAACATTTCTATATATTTTGCTTAATGTATGTCATATATGTGTGCAGTACATTGCAACGTGAGCACACACTATATATAACGTGAATAAGAAAAGAAAATAGAGAAGAAAAAAGAAAAGAAAAGAAAATCGCTATTTGTCGCAGCTCTAGTGTAAAAAAGACAACGGTTGCCTTTTTTCTTTTCTTTTTCATTTGATCACATGGGACGAACGAGATAAGACTCGGGGCTGTCCCATAGGAGTCTGTCACATAGTTTATGACGCACGTTTTAACATGCGTACAAGCTATGTATAACATGATAAGAAAAGAAAACAGAAAGGAAATAAGAAAAGAAAAGAAAATCTCTATTTGTCACAGCTCTAATAACAGCAGCAAAACAGTCGCTCTGAGTTTTTCCTCATTTTTTCTTCTACACTCTACAACTAATACAACTCAATTTTTTGGATTGATTTACATAATCTTGACAGAACAGGTTAGTTAACTGGGTTATTTAAGATACCTTTTAGAGAGTAAGGACATATGCGAATATTTGTGCCGCACAAAAGTTATTTGTACCTAAAATCACATAAAGTATTATTGTAGTGTAGAGTAAATCAAAGAGTTTGAGAAGCAATGTCCAAGGAAAGTTCCTTCCCTTAGAACTAGAGATGAGACGTAAGTTGCGTAATAAGAGAACGAAAGAACATGTCTTATATCTTTTTCGTTTTGCTATTCTATTTTTTTCCGATCAAAAACATGTCGATAAGAATCAAAACGAAAAGAAAGGAATAGGAAAATGAAACTTATTATAACGAAAGCGAAGGAAAGACCTAATGTCAGTGATACGAAATGAATTCTTTTTTTTCTTCTTTTCTTCCACTCTTAACGACATGTTTTTAAGAACGGCCAAATAATTCCTGTCTTTCGTTTAGCGCAAAATTAACGTATTTCCTTTGTAAACGAAAGAAATACATAGAACAATTTTCTTAACGACATGTCGTCAAGTCTATCATCTTCATTCTCTTTATTGCGATACATATTACGAAAATATAAACGGATTCGGACATGTTCTTTAACTGGAAAGAAGAAACAGACTGCTCTACAATATGTTTATTAATTATCATACAAACAAGTCTTTCTCTTTAGTCCAAACGTTCAACGAAATAAGGAAGTAAAAAGATATGTTTTGTATAGAACATGTTCATTTCTTATAAACATGTCGGTAGTCTTACGTCCCATCTCTACTTAGAACAGCTATACGCCGGGCAAAATCATAAAATTTTTAACCCTTGTAGGAAACGTTCAAAATATATTTCGCTCGGTCGATCGTTATTTAGACTCACTATTTGATACATGGCATCTGGCAATAATGATCAAAATAATTTATCAGAATGGACCGATCTTAAATTTATTTGGCTCGATACCTTCGTTCGTGTGGCTCGTCTAAAATTCACAGAACTGATCGATCCCGAGAAATGGACATTTTTCGATAAAGAAGATGCGTGTATTGCCTACATTCAAAGTGCTGAATGTAAAACAAAACCTGTATTTCTTGTATCATCCGGACGTCTCGGACAATACGTCGTGCCTAAAGTTCATGATTTGCCCCAGTTCTATGCCGCTTACATCCATTGTGCCGATATTGAACGCAATACAGTATGGAGTCAGACTTATAACAAAGTAAAAGGCGTTTACTACGATGATGAAAAAGAAATATTTCCTAAATTGGCTAAAGACGTTTCAGAACTATATGTGAATATGGGAGATAAGTATCTCGCCGCAAACAAACGTCCTCTAGCGATCAGCTGTTACTGTACAGCTTTAGAAAAACGAGACTTTGTTAAGGACGACCCAAGTTTTCAACCATTTGTAGACCGTTTGACATATAAAATGAAATAAAAATAGAACAGTAGTTCAAATAAATTCACTTTTTTTGCTATATTATTTTGCATACTAGTGGAGGTTTCACTTATTTCGAAATCACAGTCGATATCACTTACTGCTTAGCTGATAATAAATACTTTCGTCTGTCCATAAGGGTATAACAATATACTCAACTGTCTTTTATCACACAAAACTTACGAGGAACGTATCTAACTGTTTAATCGCTTTTTTCACCAAACCTAGTGTGCTGTAGGTTATCGAGCACGCTGATTCCGAATATCCGTATGAGACGAGCTACTAGGCCTTCGCAGAGCGGTCTTCTGCAAATTCAGTGTTCCCAAAACCTCAGAAAATCTCTGAAACTTTTTTTTAATAAGTTATGATTGTAGCCCATGAAATGCTGATCAAAATGAGACATCCTCCAGCCAGCTCTACACGACCTTTCGATACACTAACGTTATAGACTTTACAAAAAAAGTCCTAACTGTTCATTACCATATAGAAAGAAAACGGAAAAATGAATTTAGGACCTTGCTTGCAAAGTCTGTAACTTTAGTCTATCGAAAGGCCGTGTAGAGCTGGCTGGAGGATGTCTCATTTTGATCAGAATTTCGCGAGCTGTCGACGAACAGACGAAACTGAGCTGAATGCTATGTGTCTTAACATTTTCCGTTGATTTTTATTTTTTGGTAAAAATCGCAGTATTCGCCGTGGAAGTTCGAAAAAAACAAAAGTGGTCAAAAAATTTTGAGACATATATAATTCGACTCAGTTTTCGACGCTGACTCCGAATATGATATTTTAATTGGATAAAAGATGAACTCTGGTTGAAAAAATAGAGAATTTCGATGTTTTCGCTCCTGACTAAGAAAAAATGCATCTTCTTAGTAATAAAACGAAATAAGAAAAACGCGATCCGTACTTTTAAAGCTCGTTTAGTGGCGCTTCTAATGAAATAAAAAGATCGGCTACAGAAGAACCTAGATAGGTTTGCAAAACTTAAAAAATTTCAAGAGAAGAGAGCCATAACTAGAATTTGACATATGACGAGTACAGGAAGGGTGATTACACACTGGAATGTTCGAATATAACTCATCTGATGCAGCTTTGCTTACTGATCACGAATACGGTCTTAGATTTGAAGATTGGGGGGTATGGTTGGACTAAAAAAATGAACTTTTTACGAAATTAAAAGAGAAAAATGGTACCACGTCCCCTGTTGAAGAACTTTCAAATAGTGCGGTTTGTAGCTCTATCTCGTGCGCAATTAATTACAAGGTTTGGCGCATGGTCACATCTTCTGTGATTGACATATTTCAATAAACATGCGACGAACTGACCGCGACAAACTGACTGCAACGAATTGATCGTGCGACGAACTGACCTAGCAGCATCATCAATATGCATATAACTTGTTTTCCTTTTCTCTTTTCTTGTTCGCTTCACACACGCATCTTTTCGTCAAAATTAGCAATAATTTTAACCAGTTTTTAGTACTCATAATACAAAGAGGTCCAAAGTCTTGAGATTTTTTAGAAAGAAAAATACTGTATGAACTAATGTAAGACTATCAATACAGCTGTATAGAATTTCATAATAATGAATTCTTATTACTTTAACACAGTGATATCTCGACTTTTACAGTCATTTTCAAACAACACATAAAAGAAGTACCCAGAAATGAAGGAACACACACTAAGAACGAACGAAGCTTTCTTTCCTAAAATATCAATTTCAAAATCGTATAAACCACACACAGTGGTCGTCCAGGAGGACATTTAGCCAAAAGTCAAAGTACACTCTTCCAAAATTCAAATGGTGTCACGTATAGTTCAACTGAAGGGCTATCGAACGGTGCAAAAAATTTGACTCCAATTGCACTCATTATTGGAAAACTGTGCCCTCCAAAAAAAGCCTGAAAAGTAGCAACCTCTGGGAAGAATAGGTTTTTTTAGTAGACTCAGTGGTCTAAGGTTTAAAAATTTCGCATATTCTGAATCTACAAAACTGGAAAAAATTTATCCTTCTTAGGCCTGTCAAATCGGAGAAAACAATTCGACTTTCAGACTAAGTCTGTTTCGAAAGAGGTTCGCATCTTGTAATGAGTTTCCCTCTGCTGCCCCCGTCCAATCTGAGTCAAAATTATGCCAAACTGTTTGGCGTCATCTGCCCTATAAATTGTGAATGCACAAAAATACGCGTATTTATCGAAGTGAAGTTATAGGTTTGTCAAAACCCTGGATGTTTAGGTATTTTTCATTTTTCTCAGCCGGGGAACACTTTTATTGAAAATTAATGTGATATTTAGAATCAGCATAAAGCGCTGCATCGAATAATGTATTATTTGTTAATTTTACAATTAAATATTTTTTGACAAAAATTCAGGGTAAGGGTCTCCCTAAGCAAGACCGGTGAAGGTGCTCTCTCGTAAGAGCGCCTTCACGGGTCTTATTATGAAGTGGAACTCATACGTACTGGTGTCTTATAAACGGTCTGTTATTACCGGTATGGTTCATAGAGCTATTAACATTTGCTCGTCATATCGGTTACTTGATGATGAATTAAATAACATTAGAGATACAGCAATAAATAATGGTTATCCAATCTCTCTTGTTGACAAATTAATCGGAATGAAACAAGGCAAATGGTACAATGATTCCAGTACAGTTAGCAGAAGCAAGGCCGATGAAAAGAATAGAATTTTTATAGAAATTCCATTCGTAGAAAACAGCAGTAGAATGTTTAAAAATGACTTCCGAAAGTTTACTAATTGAATTTGACCTGATTTACAACTGAGAATTATTGAGAAACCACCAAACTCAGTCCAGAATTCGTTTAATTTTAAGTATAAAATTCCTCCTGATTTGCAATCTAACATAGTATATGATGTAAAATGTTAAGACTGTACTTCAAATTACGCCAGGAAAACGGTCCAGCAAGTGTGTAGGCGATTTTGGGAACATGGGCTAGCAAAATCTGCTTGTATCGCACCATTTACTACTCAAAGTAGTGAAATACCAGAAGTTCAATCAGGAAGGACTCATTTATTGAGAGTGGCAAAATATAAGCCTCAAAAAGAATAGCAGATCAAATGGAGACCATCAACGTTCCCGACAAGCACGTTTTGGTGATGGAGAGGATGACTACGATATGGTTGTATCTATAGATAATTCAGCTCTGCAGAAATATGCAGATGATTATGATTCTCTTCACAAAATAGACTAACGAGGGAACCGCTCGAGGTGATACACTCCGTTCTAATGAGTTATACCTCAATCGATAGAGTATTTCGAGCTAATAAAAAGCCTTAAAGGATTCAGGCCCATTACTCTTGAAGACCCGGTTTTCTGGAAAACCAGTTTTTCAGAAACTCTAAAAAATAATCAAAATCTTTTCTTAGTAAGAGATGATTGTAGCCTGCACATTTCTGATTAAAATGAGACATCTTCCAG